AAGAATATTTCTAAATATTTTTTATTTTGGTTTGGTTAATAATCATGACTTGCTCATATTTTTAGGACGATATAAGTAACTTTAGGTTCAAGCTACCTGCGATCTTGTATAACTCCACGCTAAACACAGCGAGAGGGTTACAGGATGATGAGCAAGATATGGAAGACAACAATAATCTTGATGATGATGTTGTAATGCTCGATAATCCAGATGAAATAGATATGATACTGTCGGGTACAACAACATGGACAAACAAACAAGACCTATTGTCTGCATTTCGTGCATGCATCCTGTTGAATAATGACCATGAATCTTTAGAGTAAGTCATTCTAAAGTAAATTATTTTGTTCTCATTTAAAGATTTTTCATCACCCCTGCTACAACTGCTACGATAATTCATTTGTTTGTTGTCCTGGATTTTTAGCAAAGAATGGGTCCGAAGCACACGACCGTATCCGATTTCTTTAACTCGTAGAAAAATTCGCGATATTTTAAACGAGAATATGGAGATGGATCATAATTGCTTCAACCTTGCTGTTTGGATGGCTGCATCCAATAACGCCTCTATGTTGGAGAAAGACAAATACCACTATATAGACCTCCAGTTTGCTGTAAGTTGATATAATTTTTCACTAATGTATATAAATCATTTGTTAGTTGTATCATTAATTAAATAGTGATAATTGTTGCAAAAAAAAAACAACAGTCGAGAACTCAGTTTGGACGAGATCCAAGGTGTTGCGATTGGATAGACTATGAAGAACTAGCAAAATTGCTTCAATGCGGGCCTGATAGGGACTACAAAATACAAAATTGCAGCACTGTAAGATATATGTTCATTAAACTCCTTTGAAAACTTATATTTTGTATTGCACTTATGGTTTTTTTTGTTTGTTTACAGATTCTATTGCCATATTTTTGAGATAGGAACTATATTTTATTCATATTTGACATGGGTAACAAAATTGTGCACATTCTAGATCCGCATTCTCCAAAACTATGGTACTCGGGTCTAGATCCAATCATGCCATATAATGGTATATTAGAGATAGTTTTGAATTATTTGAGTTTCTCCATGACATTGGTCAATCCTGCATGGAAAGAGAATGTTTACCTCTGGTGTCGTCAATTAAAACTATATCTTCCAAAAGCTATGGACTGGTAACAACTTATATTGTGTTTATCTTATCTTACCATCAAATAAATAGTGATTTGATTTAACTACAACAAATAAACACTTGGGCTCTTCTTCTCCAGAAAATTGGCAGGCTTCCTTGTCTACAACTACCTAAAGTTGTGGAATGGCGAAAGATTATCGTCGTTTGTCAACATAGTAAGCGTAAAATATTTCTATGTATATTTTATATGTTATCTACCAAATCAGTAAGTTAACTTATTATATATTATCTATATCATTCGCAGAGGTCAGATTCACTGAGGACGGAATTTTTAGTTGACATTTTGAAGAGCAGTGCAAATGAATGTACATATGACATCCCTGGGGAACTGTAAGATCTACTTAAACTCATAAATTAGTAGGATAGATATGTCAGACATGACTTTATTATGCCTTGTTATGCATGCGTGTTTTCCAGATAAATACATCGTTATGTACCATTGCGTGTGACTTAAACTATCAAAAAATTTCGTTGTTTGGTTATTTTCATGTGATTCCCAGAATAAAGCCATAGCGTTAGCACGGGCACTATACTAGTATATATAATTAACAAGTGGCAGGAAGGTCATCGTGTTGTGGAGCTAAACCTGCAGGTGGCCCTATGGAGCTGAACCTGCAGGTGGGCCTCTTGACGTGTTGTCAGCCCTCGGTTGTCTGTTCTTTTGGGCAGTGCTATTATGAAAGTGACCCACATTTACCATTATGAAAATAAACAAATATCCCTCTACCTATGTATAAATACCAATATAAATTAGTATAGACTATAATCCAATGATCATATCCCTCTACCCATATATCTCTATCTCTTCTACTCACTGTCTAATATTAAAGAGCGAAGTGTTTCTTCCAAACCACTTTTTTTATTCTCAAAATACCTCTATCGCTGACTAGAATTATGTATTTTTGTGTTTTTTCATTGATGCTTGATTAGATAAATAATGATATGTAAGATTCATGCTTATGTATTTCAATATATCTAGAAGTTGCATGTTGCTAACATAATGTTTGGTGATCTCAAACATCATGTTTTTATGTTGATTTTTTCCTTTGTTGCAACACACATGTAAAAATCTATCTATTTTTATCTCTACACATAACATTAAAGAGCAAAGTGTGTCTTACAACCCGCCTTTTTTACTTACCAAACTATCCTCGTGCCCACTGTCTCCCATATACACCCGGATTCAGGACCTGTGCTCATAAAAGTAAGAACAACACATGTTTAGCGATGATATGGAGTTCAATTCTAATACGTACTAGGTTCCGTGCAACGTGCAGGAACGTTCACTAGTATATTTTTAATAACACACTACTATGATGAAATATAGTACGGAGAAGTAGGGGCAGCCCGATGGTGGTGCACTAGCATGTCCAGGCATAGTGAGGCCATGTAGCTAGACGGTTCTAGACTTCCAGCCTGTCGCCGCCAGGCATCAGTTGGCTTATCAACGCACGTATTCTTCCCCTTGACCGCCCCCACACAGCCGCCCACTGTCACCACCCCCATGGCCGACGGCATTCACATCGCCGACCATCTACCTGTATCGCTTCTATCCCACCTTTCTTAACTCTGCCGTCCTTTGCCCCCACTACCAACCCGCCCACCGGTTACCTGCCATGCCGCTCCGCTCCCATGGCCAACGGCATCCACACCGCCAACCAAACAACCTACCGTCTGCATCCTTTGCCATCACTCACCCTCGCCCATCGGTTATCCCACCTTTCATAACTCTGGCATCCTTTGCCATCACTGACCCCACCCATCGGTTATCCCTCACTGTGCCACTCTGCCCACACCCGTGTGACCACCACCCTCCCCTAACCTCACGGGTTTGCACATGGAAGACGACGATGTGCCTACACTCATGTCTTGACGCATGTCCACGCATCGCTACGATGCACACGCGCCAATAAGGATTTGGTGCCGCCGTTCTAGCTCCAGCTCGGTACATTTCTTTTGCTCGGTCTTGCATAATCCATCTATATATGTACCATCGTGTACATGTACATGTGTACCAGGAGCTGTTCTTCTGTGCAACCGAATAGTACTGGGAAACTGGTAACTCAAAGTTTGTTTCTGGAAACTTTTCACTCTCAATGTTTAAATGTGGAAATTCTATTTAAATATTTGCAACAATGGTTCTATGTTTTCTCATTTTGCTCCTTTTGAAAAAGAGAAAGCCTCCGAGTATTAATAATTGGCGGACAGGAAGAATCTTTCCTTTGTGGAAAATGAATCAACGTTAGCTTTAATTTTGTGCGGGGCTGCCTTTTTGTGTGGGCCACAGCTGAGCTCTGATTCCCCACGGTCGCTCAACTTAATAGATTTGAAGCCTATCATATGGATACAGTTGTAGCATATGTTAATGCACGAGCAAAGACCCACACAATTCATGCACACCCCACTCACACCACACACGGATGTCGTCGTTGCTGTGATAATAAACCTCTCCTTTCCTCCTGGTGTCGCCGTGTGCACGCTCTAGGGAAGACACGTCAAGCGTACATGTGTACCTGGTTGTTCTTCTGTAACTGAATACTACGAATCCGGTAGCTACTCACAGTTTGTTTCTGGGAACCATCTCAATGTTTAAATGTAGAAAATATATTTATTTGCAAATAAAATAGTAGTTCTTTGTTTTCTCAGATTTCTCTTTTGAAAAAAGAGAAATGGGGAACAAAAGACTCCGTGTATGATACTATGATCAATAATTGATGGACAGGAAGAATAATCTTTCTTTTGCGGAGAACCAACGCTAGCTTTTGTGCGATGCTGGCTTTCTAATTTGTGTGGTGCACCCCCACCACACCACAGCTGAGCACTGATTCCCCTCGCTCAACTTGACTACACGGATGCCGTCGTTGCAGTAGACGACATACTTTTCCTTCCCTTAATTGTTTCGCCGACGGCTTGCTGCTGCCTGATGCAACAACACCCTTAATTGTTTTTCCTCTTCTTCCAAGAAAAGCTAGGTACGTACTTTGGCTTCAATTCAAATCCCTTTCCTTTTGTTCAAGTTCTTCGTATGTATAGATCTCTTCTTAGTAAAGTACAGTAGTCCAAAGAAAACTGCACACTCTAAAAAAGAAGTGGAGATACAAGTCCATATTGATAACTAGAAGTCTAGAACTGTCACTCGTAAATCGTGATAAAGAAAAACTCCATCGGCCAGGTCCAGGGACACTTCTCTCTGCCTCTCCCTCTTCATCTGGCTGCCGTTGGGGAAGCACACAATCACTCGGTGACTCGGAGCAGCACACAATCAGCGACGGCGTGTTGCTCCATCACCCGTCTTTTTTTCACTTCTCAGAAAAACTTGGTACGTACGTACGTTGGTTTCCATTTGGTTTATTTTGTTGAAGTTCGAACACACTAGATCTCAGAGTTGACTGAAAATTGCAATCTTCTCATTGTGGTTGTTCATCTCACAGCTGCCTGACAAAGCTCGCGGACGGTTTTCTTGCAGCTTGAGGACTGACCTCACCTCACAAAGCTTTTCAAATGAATCTGGATACGTACTGTCAAACTAAGAAAGCAGAGACAATAGTGGTGGCTCCGCTGTAGTGGTGAGTGACCTCAGCGAATCTCGCTCTCTTCTCTGGCAGTTTTTTGTTTATGTTTCTTCTCCAAATAAAAGTGCAGATTGTTAAAAAAAACTTATGATCAATCTTCCAGGTTGAGTAATAAACTAGTTTTTAGTTATGAAAACAGAGCATCTGAATCTGTCGATATGTTTGATTCAGGAGTAAAATTGAGAAAACCTCACATCGCCAACTTCAGATTCAGAGTGCTGAGCACAAGAAAGGAAAGGCCAGGGGATCGATGGAGGCTGCCGTGGTCAGCGCTTCTCATGGTGCTTTGGGCTCCCTGATAGGGAAGCTTGGTGATTTGATCACATCTGAGTACAAGCTGCTCAAAGAAGCTAAGGGACAGATCATGTTCCTTAAAGCTGAGCTAGAGAGCATGCACGCGTTCCTGAAGAAGATGTCAGACATGGAAGAGCCTGACGAGCAAGACAAGTGCTGGGTGAAGGAAGTACGTGAACTCTCCTACGATATAGATGACAGTATCAATGAGTTCCTGCATCGCGTCGAGCGCAAGTACAGCAGCATGCCGCGTGGATTCAAGGGGTTCATGGATAGAAGCATGAGCCTGCTGACAACCATGAACATTCGGCATCAGATTGCGAAGGAGCTGGAAGGCCTCAGGAGTCGTGTCATGGAGGTGAACGAGCGACGCATGAGGTACAAGGTCGATGAAACTGTTTCCAAGCCAAACAACACAGTCGTCGATTCTCGTGTTTTGGCACTCCATGCAGAGTCAGCCAGCCTTGTTGGTATTGAGGAGCCCAGGGACCAACTGATAAAATTGATGGATGAAGAGAGTGTGCCTGCTTCACATCAGCTAAAGGTGCTCTCTATTGTCGGATTTGGAGGTCTTGGAAAAACTACCCTTGCAAATGAGATTTATCGCAAGCAAGAGGGCTTATTCCTGTGTCAAGCTTTTGTTTCTGTGTCCCAAAAACCAAATATTAGGAAGGTACTAAGGACTATACTATCTCAAGTTGGCTTTAAACCTCCTATGAACACCAACATGGAAATGTGGGAAGAGTCCGAATTGATTAGGACGCTGCAAAATTTTCTTTTGGATAAGAGGTATGCCAGCAATGAAAACAAATGCTAAGTAACTTTTCATGATTTTGAAGCGATTCAGTTTTAGCTTTCTAGCGTGTCCTGCAAGTGAAATTTTTATGTGTTTGTTTTTTCTTCTTGGTTTATACCTTGTTCACTTTTGATTAACTAGGTAATGACATCCATGTTATACATATAAACCAAATAAACCATACAAACAAAGTATTACAGTTCTTATAAGAATTTTGATGCTGCATTTCATATCTATTCTCGAAGTACTGTTCCTCAAATTACCATTTTAGTTCTCACCAGCATCTATAGGCTAGTAAGACTATGTGTTAAGAAATAGTTACTTTAAAAAACAGAAGGCATTGCTCTCATAACTTTTCAACCGGAACCCTTATCAACATAACCACTTCTGAAGTTTTTCGACTGAGTTCTTGTTTTTGTTGTAGTTATTCTAGCCTCTAGCTACGATGCTTTCACGTTTTCATGAACACTGTCCTAAAGGTCGCTACACGCGGTATGCATTTACATGTCAGGTACCTAATTGTAATTGATGACATCTGGGAGGCTCCTGCATGGGATATCATTAGATGTGCTCTTCCAGAGAACATTAATGGCAGCAGAGTATTAATAACTACACGAATTGAGACTGTGGCCAGAGCTTGCTGTGCTAAGAACATTGAATGTGTTTACAAGATGAAGGCCCTTAGTGACCAAGACTCACGAAGCTTATTCTTCAAAAGAATGTTTGGTGCAGAGGAAGCTTGCCCTCCATATTTGATGGAAGTGTCTGCTCAAATTTTGAAAAAATGTGGTGGTTTGCCACTTGCAATTATCACAACATCTAGCCTAATAGCCAGCCAGCCAAGCAAACTAAAGGAGCACTGGGAACATGTAAGGGACTCTCTGGGCTCCAGCTTTGAAGTGAGCCCAAGCTTGGATGGCATGAGACAAATATTAAACCTCAGCTACATAAACCTTCCTCATTATTTGAAGACTTGTATGCTATATCTAGGCATTTATCCAGAGGACTACACAATCAATAAGAATGATTTGGTTAGACAATGGATAAGTGAAGGTTTTATATGTGAAGCTCGTGGGACAGATCCAGAGGATATTGCAAAGAGCTATTTCAATGAGCTTATCAATAAGAGTTTGATTCAGCCCGTAGATACAGACTACAATGGTGAGGTGATGTCTTGCAGGGTTCATGACATGATGCTTGATCTTATCCTACATAAATCGAGAGAAGATAATTTTATCACTGTAATAGATGATATTCAAGATTTGACAAGACAGCACAACAAGATCCGTCGACTCTCACTCAATTTGGATGGTGCAATAGATGAAACAGTAGGAAGATCCTTCCAGCTATCCCAAACACGAATGCTAGCAAGATTTGGTACCTCTTTATATCTACCTCCTATTTTACAGTTCAAGCATCTCCGAGTTTTGACGATTGAAATTTCAAGTGGGCCCTATTCATCTGAGTTACTTGACTTGAATGGAATATGTCATTTGTTTCAACTGGGATTCTTAAAGATCATAGCAAGTGGTCGTCATGTGGAGTTACCTAGTAAAATTGGACGTCTGCAGCAACTGAAAACATTTGAAATAAAAGGACAATCAGATCTGCAGCTACCATCAGATATTGTTCATTTGAGCCGTTTATCGCATCTGATTGTTCCAGAACATGTAATATTTCCCAATGGCGTCAGTAACATGAAATCATTGCGTACTCTACGTTGCTTTGATTTGAGAAACTCACTAGACAATATCAAGGGTCTGAGAGAACTGACAAATCTGACAAATGTTGAAATCAGATATTTTAACTACACATCCACCAATAGAGACGAGTTTGCTGCAAAATGTAGGGAACTTGTCCACGCCCTTGGAAACATTTGCAGCCTCAAATGTCTACTTATTCGTAGTTCTTACCAACCTGTCACTGTCAGAGCCTGCTTAGATTCATGGTGGTCAGTCCCAACTTCTTTCATTCATCTCCAGAGCTTTCATGCAAAGTACTTCTCGAGGATTCCTGGGTGGATTGGCCAGCACCATAGCCTCTATGACCTGCAGCTTGTTGTTCAGGATGTGTATGGGGATGACGTTGGGATTCTCTCACAGTTGCCCTCCCTTGTCCACCTCGACTTGCACATCAATGGAGTTCCTAAAGACAAGATCATCATCCGTGGAAGAGGATTCCCTGTTCTCAAGCATTTTACAGTTGCATGTTGCAGGATATCGTACCTGGCCTTTGAGGCAGGGGCGATGCCGAAGCTTGAAAGGCTCGAGCTATGTTTCAATGCACAGGGATGGGACAGGTATGGTGGTGTGCCTGCTGGCATCGAGTACCTATCAGGCCTCAAGGAAATCGTCGGAGACATCGGGGGCCTATATGCAAAGGGATCCAATAGAAGGGCTGCAGAGTCTGCGCTCTGGGACGTGGCTGGCCTGCACCCAGGTCACCCTGTATCCAACATCAAACTGAGTTTCTATTATATATTTGATGGCAACGACGATGAGCCCCGGGAATAGTAGTGCCTAGGCCAGGTACAGACTACAGAGTCTTTTTACCTTATGTTTGCGCCAGCTGTTATACATATATCATATTTAATTAATATTATTACTTCGGTACGTCATATTTAATTAATTAGTATTGTTTCCTAGCTACCCCCGTTTTTTTTGTGTGTATACTCTCTTACCATGTTAATAACTAACGTCAATACTAGCACGTTTAAGTTAACAATAATAATTTGATTTGACAGGCATAGCATGCGTGGACTGCTGCTGCGTGGGCAGGACTTGTGCGGCAAGAGCCACCCATACCCACACGGGTGGTGTCGATGTTGAAGCATCTTTGCAGTCTCTCTGCGTTCATCAGCTGGCACCACCGTCTCCAGCATATGGTTACGACATGGATCCAGCTGCAGAGCAGGCTGTTGTCTCGAGAATTATCACTACTATTTTTACTTCAGACTTGATAATATGTGTAGATGCATGCTGATTGCTGTTGGTTCTGATGAACCTGCAGCATCGCTTGTGGTAGTATGGCTTGGGGCTTTGGACTTGTTGAGTTACTATTAGGGGACTGGGGACCAGCTGCTTCTTGCCTTACTGGCTCAATTTGTTGTAATAAGTAACACGGATGCTGAACGTGCCGATCATTTCTTTATGCAAAAGTTATATATACTCTAAATTCATTAAATCCACTTGCTATTGGATTTTTTGTCTAGCAGAATTTGGTCCTACTATATATGCTTGAGTTGATGACTGTTCTCTCAATCCTTGTATTGTGGGGTTTTCCATCAACAAACAACATACTTCTTTTTGAACATGTGATTTGTTTTGGAGCCGGGATGAATTAGCACAGTGTTATTCACATATACTTTCTCGAGGCTTCTGCTGAGGCTCTAACAGAGCCATTTGTTTCCATGGATCTGAAGTTCAGTTGGGCTTGTGTGTTTTTCTCTTTTCTATCTACAACAATTCACTGAACTTGTTCAAAAAATAATACTAATAGACTGAAATTTCATCAGGCTTAACATGTTTAGTAACTAGACTAAATGAAACAAGTGTACTCTGTTTCCAGTCAATATATTTTAACTGACTGCCCTCTCGCATTTGGAATCGAATGCTCGAAGTCATCCGGCTGGATCTAGTGGGCCTAGCTTCTGCCACTTCCCTTCAGGGGAAAAAAAGATCTGGTGGGCCTGCACGTAATGCTGGCCCTGCCTGATTTTGGCCTGGGATGTCCATTTTTCGGGCCGTGCTGGGCTTTCTAGTCATGCCGTCGTTGCTCTCGGAGGAGGAGGGGGGAGTGACGCCACCGCGCACTCACCGGCCGACCACCGCTGTCTCTGGCTCCTCTTCCTCCTTGCCGTGCCCTGCTGCGTCCTCTCGGTCCCTGCTTGCCGCCTTCCCCGCCCACTCGCTTGCAGCTAGCAGCCGGGTCGGTAACTACTCCTCATACATATGTGTCCTACTGAAATTTGAGAGATTCTCTATATATCAAATATATATTTTTTCTGTGGATGCATCAAGTCGAGCGAACTAATTAACCGAGAACTAGCAGGAGTTGTTAGGTGCAGAGTCTAAACGTTATGTGTTCGTCAGTTTCTACTCGGTTACCGTACACATGCAAGACATTTCATGGCTCGCTTACATAATCTTAATTATTAAATCCGCTCCTGCTAGCTTCGGAGCTTTATTAATATAGTGGCTTCGTTTGTACGATTACCTTGTAAATCACCATCATAAGCATTAGTTGGCATTAGTTGGCTGATTGTGGCCGAGCAGACAGCACGACATTGCACTTTACGAATACCAATACAATTGATTGATGTTCACATGGACCTGGCAGTTTTGTTTATGGTTCCATTGGTATTGCGTAAAGGGCGTCCCCCTGTTCTCCATTAGTGGAACTTTAGGATTAGAATATAGTATTGGTAGAATTAATAAGTTCAATCTGTAAGGGCTGCGGCCCCTCCAGTTTCCAGTTCAATCTGTAAGGTCGACCAAACAGTCGTAGCTGGACCATCCTAGCGAAAGGCCTTTAGTTTCGATGTTACATAAATGGAAAACAACCAAATCCGACGCAGCGGTGCGACCTAGAAGGTGGCATTGAGTCTTCGCGGCTGCCTGGACGAGCCTTTTCCACCGTCCGGGAAGAGTGCGTCTAGCGTGTAAGGACCGTGACGCCTAAGAAGGTGGTGAATTAGGCAGCTTAAAATTCTACTTCTAATTATGGCCTCTAATTCCACCTAGTCAAAACATATGCAAGAAAGGAATCTATCTAAACGTTCAAGTAAGGTTTTGCTAGGTGTGTTGCTATCTCTACTGCAAAAGAGTTATGCAACCTATGTTTCAACCTTATCAACTAGCCTATCAACTAAGCTAGGAATGGTAAAGCACATAACCAAGATTACAATAAAAATGCAGAAGCTAAAGATGAGGTAGAGATGCAAACTCCCGTCAATGACTCCGGTATTTTCACCGATGTATCGAGAAGCACGCAAGCTTCCCCCTAATCCTCGTTGGAGCCCCTCGCAAGGAATCTCTCACAAGGGCCAAGCTCCCGGTCGGGTAACTCCGTGGATAGCCCCGGGCCTTCCCCACGCGCAAGTGGGTCTCTCGTGTACCTCTCTCGAACCGCTCCCGCCGTCTTCGCTGTCAAGCTTTCGGCCAAAATGCCGCGGGCCTTGTTCCCTCCGTACACAGTGGCAGCCACACCACAAACACGGTTGGTATGGTCTCACAAGACTTATAAGCCCCGCTGAGTACAAGCACAGTGCGCGTAAGCACCTTTGGTCAAGAGGTATGCAAACCTCACTAGCAACTAGTCCTAAGCCTAGAGCAAGCGCATATGAGCGCGGTCTAACTAACCTAAGCACTTCGCAAAGCACCTACGCTAATCACCGGGGATCAGACACTGCATATCTGCTGCTCTATATTGATGATATTGTTCTAACCGCCTCCTCAGCTAGGTTTCTTCAACATATTATTGCAGCCCTTCAGCGTGAGTTTGCTATGACCGACATGGGACAACTCTATCACTTCATTGGTGTCTCCGTTGCTCGCTGCGATGATGGCCTTTTGCTCTCTCAACGGCAGTATACTCTGGACATCTTGGAACGTGTCGGGATGAGTGCTTGCAAGCCTTGCAGCACTCCTGTCGACCTGCACTCCAAGTTGTCCACCGACGGTCCTCCAGTTGCTGACTCTACTCAGTATCGTAGTTTGGCTGGTGCACTACAGTATCTGACTTTCACTCGTCCGGATATTGCCTATGCCGTCTAGCAGATATGTCTCTACATGCATGATCCACGCGACCCGCACCTTGCTACTCTCAAGCAGATACTACGGTACTTATAGGGTACTCTTTTCCTTGGCTTGACTCTACATCGCTCTCCGCCTACAGAGCTTGTTGTTTACACTGATGCGGACTGGGACGGCTCCCTCGACACTCACCGTTCGACCTCTGGCTACGCGGTGTTCCTTGATGACAATCTGGTGTCCTGGTCTTCCAAGCATCAGCACATAGTCTCCCGGTCTAGCATAGAGGCCGAGTATCGAGCCGTGGCCAATTGTGTCGCTGAAGCTACATGACTTCATCAGTTACTTGCCGAACTTCGCCACCATCTTCGTCGTGCCACCCTGGTTTATTGCCACAACGTCAGTGCTGTCTACCTCTCCACCAATCCAGTCCAGCATCAGCGCACGAAGCACGTTGAGATTGATCTCCACTTTGTTCGGGAGCGTGTCGGCCTCAGTCATGTTCGAGTTCTCCATGTCCCCACGACATCCTAGTACGCCGATATCTTCACCAAGGGTCTCCCAACATCTGTATTTCAAGAGTTTCGATCCAATCTTAACGTTCACCGTGCTCCCGATAAGACTGCGGGGGAGTATTAGCATGATGTAAATATAGCAATGGTCGCCCTGTACTTGTGCGCTTGTGTGGTTGGCTTGCATGCTACCCCGACAGCCTATATATGTACCCATACACAATATGGAATACAACAACTCATTCCAATCACTCTTTCAAAAAACAGCTCCAGTGAGCGGTATTCCTAGGACTCCGCACATGAAGCAGTTGTGTGGGAGAGCGGTTGGCTGATATGGAGCTCCCAGAGCTGTTTCAGAAGCTATACCAAGAGCTCACTTAGTAGCAAGAGTCATGAACATTAGCTTACAAAGTTGGATGAGATAGGTTCCTTTGGCTCCTTAAAAATAGTGTCGAGTTCACAATAAATTTCATTTATAAACTCCTTGTGAATACATGCATTAAAGTCTCACATGATATTTGGCGTTTAAGTATACCACTGAGAATTACAAATTTTCTATGATTCGTCAAGAGGGGGTGATTTTAACTATACATAATTTATTAATTAAAGAGGAACTATAATAGGAACAAATCTTGTGTGTCTTGTAGTAGGGATGAAACTATTCAACACCTCTTATTCGAGTGTCTGTATGCTCAGTTCCTGTGGCGAAGAATACATCTTGTTTTGGGTCTCAAATACCCTTTGAATGTGATGGATATCTTTCATGATTGGCACAAACAAACGGGTAGATCAAATAAGACATTGTTATTGACAGGTGGTCCAGTCATTCGTTGGACATCATGGCTAGTGATATTTGAGTGGGTTTGATTAAATGTGTTGCTCAACATATGTAAAATTGGTCTCATTGTCTTGGTTAAAGGATATGAAGTCAAATTAATTCACCTTTATCTAAAAAAGAATGGCTTTCAAGAACTTTCCCAAATTAACTATATATCCTAAGGTAAGTTTGTTGCATTCATGCTAGGTGCATCTTCTGCTTTATGAGTGACAAAATGTTTTAGATGCATTTAGTCATCAACTAATGTTCCACAGGAATTTTGTACGTTTTTCTAGAACCTATTACTACTTTTCCTATAGGAAAATCTAATTTTTTGATGCTCCAAAATTCTTTTTCATGAGCTCTAAATACTTTACTTGGGTTTATGATGTTCCAAAATGTGTCCAAGATTTTTTCCCTAAATTTTTGGAGGC